ACGATCTGCATCCCCGCAAGTATCAGCAGGGGACGAGAGCCCTTTGTCCGTGCCATCGTAACTCCAGAAAGGATGATCGAGATGAGCGATGATAGTGTGACTACCGCGATGTTCCAGCGTTCCTTTTCCAGCGCCATCCATGGAAATAAAGGCCTTCTGCCGAAAAAGTGACAGAGAATTACGTAGAAGGTCAGGCCATGGGAGACCGCGCCGAGGACACCGTAGGGTATGCCGTAAACCTCGATGTGCTCTCTGAGGTTCTTCGCGTTTGTGGTAACGAGGTCGCGGGGCTCGGGGCTCGATATACGAAGGTCGGTCGGGAATGCGTCTGCTGCGAATGTAAGATAGGCCCCGATGAGTGCCATGGTGAAGAGTTGGCGAAGTCGTATGGTCATCTTGGAAACTGTTGATTGCTTGCTGTGGGGAAAGAATGAGAGTTCAGGGCAGGGTGGTTTAGAAGTCACAGCCAGAAAACAGGAGGAAGCAAGCACATATTTGAGCTGCTGTTGTGCTCTCTTTGATGTGTCGTATGAGATGGTCGCCGAATTGCCATCCCTCAATAGAACGACTTCCACCGAAGGCGCACCGCGACCTGCGCAGCGTTCTACATTTGGGCATGAAGTTGAGGATGTTGTAGCACACCGTTTACATTAGCGAAAGCCTTCCGTTGCTTGGGAGTAATCTCCGACCAATGGAAAAAGCCATTCGAGTCAGCCGCAGTTTGCAGCCTTGTGACAGCTACCGTCACTTGTTCAGCAGCCGCTCGGTATGTCTGCGGAGACTTTTTCGATATCGTGTGTAAATGGGTTGAAGCTGAAAAAGGTTCGAATTAACGAGAGCTGGTCGCAGGACGCGAGGTGTTGTCTTGGCTTTGGGGGCTGAAGCAGTACCACGATGAGGCTGTTGTTCGGTTTTTGGGAAGCAGAAAAGGCCAGAATTTACTGGAAGAAGTAGGTTTCAGATATATCACAGCAAGAACAGAATATGATAAAAACGGTAGAGCTTTATGGATGAGAGGAATGAAAGACAGGCTCAAGCTGTTCGGATAATGCACCAGGCAAGGAAACCGAAGATACAAAGGGAGGTGATCATCGAGGTTGTTGCATATGCTCTTACAGACACTGCTATTAGTGCCGAGTAGTAATGGTCGTATCGCTTTCCGACTTCCCAAAGACATTGGGTACGAGCCTTGAGGGTGTTGTCATGCGATAAATTGAGGCTCCTACTGCGGGAGTAGCGGCGACATGAGCGGATCTTTGTTCGAAGAAAAGACATTAACACCTTCCATTCGTTAGTGTCGTCGCCTTGCACATGTGACGCATTGGAATGTTCCGTATTCAAGTCTATGACTGTGATGTTAGTGTCAGAGTGCATGTTAGTCGCCCGCCTGTGGCGAGAGGTGAAGGTCCGTGCGATAGCCTAAGGAACTTCGGAAGGAAAGCACCATCGATACTCAAACACCAACAACCATGAGTTGCCACAATTGCGCCAGAACGACGCTGACCCTGTTCATTCGCTCCTTCGTAAACACTGAGCAAGTCCTCGCCGCTCGACGACCGCTACTCCGTCCGCAACAATCGCGGTTTTCGACCGATGCGCACCGACTACGCAAAGTAGGGCCTATAATACCCACCGCGGAACCACAAACAGCGGAACCGAAACAAGCCGAGATAGAAGATGCTCTCACGGGAGAGTTCGGGCGAGACCGAAGGCGCGAGCGCCCAGCATGGGCTGTACAGAAGGAAGCGCTGAAAGAGAAGCTGGGAGGCGAGGCATGGAGCCCGCGCAAGAAGCTGTCGCCCGACACCATGGAAGGCATACGGCATCTACACAGCACACAACCCGATAAATTTACCACACCCGTCCTCGCGCAACACTTCAAGGTCTCGCCCGAAGCCATTCGTCGCATACTGAAGAGCAAGTGGCAACCCTCCGATGCAGAATACGAAGCGAGGATGGAGAGGTGGAATAAGCGCGGAGAGAGGATATGGTCGAACTTGGTGGAGATGGGTGTTAAGCCGCCGAAGAAGTGGAGGGAAATGGGTGTTGGTCGGGCTGAGAATGGGGAGGCACCCAGATGGAAGTCAAGAGATCGGAATCAGGTGGACGTTAGGGACAGCGTTCACGACGACTTCAAGGACTATGTTCCGGATGAGGAGCTTATACCGACCGTGGGCAAGTCGGGTAGGTCAAAACCGACGACTAGTCGCCTACCACTGTTCGAGAGGCTTTGAATGGCACCTTCCAGCATGCGCAATGCTCATAGCGACCGCACGCCCCATTAGAGGCAGCTATTGGCGCAAACGTGATGATCTCACGAGCCACAGCCTTGCTCAACTACTACTTGGTTGCCTAATTAAGCCCATCATCTCGCCTACATAGCGACAATTAGCATCGTATCTCGCAAGATAGATTGAACTCCACACCAGCCAAAAGGCACTTGTGACCCCATGGGGGAGCAGCATCTCCTTCTGGCACTGCCTCTTAGACAGTTGCACAGAAGCTTGAGAACCCCAAAGACTACACGGTCCTGATGTGGAAGAAGCCTCTGGGTTAACTCGTGGGCATCGTGTCAAGGTCGAAGACTATGGGAAAGATCCCGAGCGAACAATGGAGTAACCGATATGTACTTGGATCGATTTACACTCCCCTACCCAACTCATCTCTACCAAAACCCGCAATTGACCTCCTCAATTTATCTCTCGAAGCGGTGTTCCATTGCGATAATAATGCGATACAGCACTCGGCGCTTTGGTAGTATTGAAACATGAGTAGACATCCTGTTAGACTTCCACACTGCTCGTCTTGTCGATGCAGCATGCGTCTATCTCGAGGTATCGGCATCCTGACTCCTTTGCGATTATACATGCCTACAAACTCCTCGAGTACTCAACTCTACCCGAGACCGAGTTTGCTCTCATGTCTTGGTCGGTAACTTCTCCTTCGCCCCATGTGTGAGAGAGTATCGCATACTTGGCAGGACCACTTTCCTCCGGTTCTCGCACCTAGATGAACTCCTATCGACGAAACGCATGACAGTATGCCCGCTTGTAGCTGGTGAGCTACATCAGTGAAGGTTATTGCAGAGAGTGGCGCATCGTCTGAAGATAACCCAAGGCTGAGATGTCAATCAGGCTGTAAATTATGCAACGAGTCTAACGTTGACGTGGTTGGTCGACTCGTCTGAGCTACCTCAGCAGCTACTATCCATGGATATCGTTACACAACATCCGCTTGGAAAGCAATGCGTCTGGGGAATCAACCGGTGAGGTTGTAGGAGCTTCGACCAGAGGGGAGAGTGTAAGGCTGTGAGGGGCTTACGCTGTTGGAACTGCTCAGCATCCGTGCACTGGCCTCCCGCTACCCGCCGTCAAGCCTAACCCACACGGTTGAGTCTGACGCTGTGCCGTCTGCACCTCAGTCCCCCATAAAGCCTACAGGAACAGCCAAGGTTGGCTGTTCCTTCCGCTGCCCGCGATTTTTGGAAACTAGTCACTGAACTAGCTTAGCGGGAAGGTCTCAGCACTTGAGGGCGCCGATGGTGATGTGTGAGTGGCTGGCCGTTGGAAGAATGCAAGACAGTTGGACTCGAAATCCAAGGGTGCAACGGAGGCTGCATTCGTTCGAGGGGTTAGGCTAGAGGCCGTCCCGCTTAAGTGCCGCATCCACGCTGGATGCGAAATAGCGCAGCTCAAAGCGGATTAGGGTAGAGGCTGCTTTACTTGCTTGAGATAAAAGAGATCGTTTCCTTGACGGATCATACAATACTCGCTCAAGCTTTGGAAAATTTGCCTTTGACTATTCTCAATCATTCCTACACACTGCCAATACCATATCAGAGAATTAGGTACATTGCCAACCTGTCACTGCAATCAACATGGCATGCACCCATCCAGGACTACTCTTCTTGCTCTTATTCTCAGTCAACAGCGTCGCATCCCCGACACTGCACGCGCCATTACATCAAGAGGGGACTATGTCCGCCGATTACCCATCTACCGTCTGGTCTAACGAAGCCATCTTCACTCTAGTCGGCGTCTGTGTAGCTGTGGTTGGCATCTTGATCGGCCTACTCTCTTCGTCCAGGCTGCGGCAGTGGCTGTGTAAGCCATTCAAATGTAAGTGACGTATCTAGGCTGTCTTCTATCAGTATCTGACATTAAGCTTTCCACAGACTTCTCAAAGACCAGACGAATGGAAAGATCACGACAGCGTATGGATGTTAGACGACAGTTGCAAGAAGATTATAATGAGTACCTCAGGTTCAATGATTTTCTGGAGTTGCGGGGAGGGACTACAAGCTCCAGTCAGCCTTGGTAGCGTTCGCTCGTCTAGGTACCCTAAAGCTGGGGCGTTGTGGTCAGAGGAGTTCCTTTCCCCGCCATGTTTGGGCGGTCATCGATGTCATGCATCTACCAACCAATGTTTCTCATCATCATTAAATCGAGCGAAATTTCACAGAAAAGTTCCCTCATCTTGTACAGTGTCTTAGTACCATGGTTCAGTTCCGTTGACTCATGCGCACTTCCACCCATCAAACCAAGCAGCCAGTTACAAAGCCCTTTTACTTTCACAACAAGTTAGCAGTGTATACACGCATCATACTTACTTTCACACACTCAATATCAAGCAGCGTGTCACCCCCATCAAGAATAAACTTCCTTGTTCTCCTTCTTTACTCTACATTGTTTGCTACAACACGACAATCAAACCAGACAGGGTTGACTCTTCAACTAGACAAAGCGACCCAGCACACTGCTCAAGCACTCAACATGTCGTCAAATACAACCTTCACCACATCCCCCAATAACCACATGCCCTCTCCGCCAACGGCCGCACGCACATCACAATCACAATCCCAATCTCACATCCAATTCGGCGCGACACCACACCGCGGCCCGATACCACGATACCCGTCATCTTATAAGCACAGCACCCATTCAACCCGCTCATCTCACTCCACTCACTCAACATTATCTGCAGCGTCTCCAACACAAAGCATGTCGCGGCCTTCAACCTCAAAACAACCAGCCGAAGACTTCACAGATATATTGTCGCAGGAGCAGCTGAAGTCCATGTCTGATCTGGACAAGGAAGAAGAAGCCAGGCTGGCAAAGACACATCGGGCCAAGGCGGTGAAGATGGGTGTGGGGATTTGTCGGTGGGTTGGGAAACTGGCGAAGAAGAATGAGAGTCGTGTCAAGAAGGACGAGGAGGTCAAGTGATGCGTGAATGACAATGGCGAAACGAAGTGGTGATGAGAAAAGATGTTTTCGAATGGAATCGTAATGCAGAAGCCGAAAGGATATGGGAAGAATACACGTTGAGAGGCATGCTTTTCACATGACATTCGACTTTATATTCATTCAAACGTGGCTATGCCTTTCATGTTTGGATTTGGTGACGTTGTATTGCACAAGCGTAACAGCAAGAACACGTTTCGGGGTCTCTCCAAGATATCCGCGTAGTAGTGTACAGCGACCGTCCTTTTCGACAAGATAACCAGACAAGGAAATCGTAACAGCAAAACAGGGTATGTGACGAAAGCAGTACAGACAACAGACAATATGAGTTCCGACTAAACCAGATATACACCGAAAGCAGAAAGGAAATAGCTGCAGCGACCGGGAAACTCGGGGTATATGTCGTAAGGTCATAAATTTGGTAGGCGCAATGCGAGCCCGTCATCTAACGACATGACTGACTAGTAGCGACAGGTGTAGTCGCGGCATGTTTTCTCAATTCCTTTAGTTCCACCTCGATCTCGAATAATCGTCGTCGTCGTACACGGATCGGGCCTGAGAGTCGAAAGATGCACCCATGCCGTTGGTACCGCTTCGTTGGCGGGTGTGCCTCTTGTTGTCAGACTCGCGGCGGCGATGGGGATCATCTGCGGGATTGTGCATGTTGGAAGCGTAGTAGTTGCTGGGAATGTCGCGCACCGTGGGATCAGACTGAGTGCCGAAGTTGGAGAAGCTTGGGCTCCGCGGCCGGACGTTCGGGCCACGAGGGGGAGGTGGCTGTTGGTGATAGTGGGAGTCCATAGGCGGAGCGCCCCACGGTCCGTGACCGGCATTGGATTGCGCGCGTCGACGCTTCTCGTTCGCGGAAGTATCAGAGTAGGTGCTGGAGCTCATGTCTTCGGTATAGGATTTTCCGCCACCAGGAGCGGCCGAGTAAGGCTTGCGCTCCCGCTCGATAGGTACGGATGTAGACATGGGTTCATCTTCAAAGTCCATTGGCCTCACTTCGGGCCTCGAGGAATATGGACTACGTTCGCGTTCGAGACTGGGCCCTGCGGGAGGGGCTTGGGTCTTGGGCGGCGGCGGTGGGAAGGTAGGTGCCCTACGAAGCGGCCCAACACCCTCAGCGGACAAGGCTGCGGCGCATCTTTGCTGCGCGTGTAGGTTCTCGATGGTCGGGAACATCCTACGAGGAAGTTCTTTCGGGAACCGTTCCTTCCGATCGTCTGCGTTGCTGATCGGCATGTCCAAGATGGCCTTTACTAATCGTTCGTACTCGGTGTCGGGATATGCCTGGATCATGGTCGTCATCCATTCCTGGAAGCCTTCGGGAGTAAGCGCAGGGATGTAAGGTGCTTCTGCGGGATGCTCTTGGATGAGATGGTGCTGGCATCGCATGTCGCGGTATACTTTGGATAGAGCAGAATACGAGAGGTCTCCAAAGATGGCTGCATATATTAGTATGTGATGAGAGATTGAACATACGCCTGCTTACTTTGCCATGGATATATTTCATCTTTGAGCTTGACCTCCTCATAAAACTTCAGCATCTTGGCCGGGGAGATGACTAGACTGTGCTTGGGTTCATAGTCCTCAATCTATGTCGTCGTTAGTGCATGATGTTTATATAGTCAAGGATACGCACCAAGTGCAGAGCCAGTCCACGCAAGAGCTGGCCGAGACGCGGCAGAGGCTGGCCGTCTGGCTCGAACAGCCGCTGCCACATCTTCTCGATCGGGGTATAGTCTTCGGTCATCATCCTGGGCGCGGGGCCTGGTCGCGCAGATGGCCGTTCTCGTTCTACTGGTGCGCTTCGCTCAGTACGCGGGGTAGGCAGGTCGCTATTGCCATCCAGCAGCGGGTCGCGATACAAGGGGTCGCGCTCGGGAGACTGCTGACTTGGAAAGTCAGTGCGCTTTGGAGATGGCGGGGTGTACACGTCTCGGGGCGGGATCGAGTTGGATGTCGACACTGGCGAGGGCGGGACCCATTGTTGCGGGGAGACGGGTATGTTCTGTGCTTGTGTAGCACCAGCCATGCCGCTTGATTTGATCTCGTCCAAGACGGACCTCTTCACTTGCTCCGTAATCTGAGCAATGAGGTCTGGGTCGACAACCCGCGCAGCATCAGACTTGTCAAAGGCATGTCCGATGGCATTCTTCAGTGGCTGCTGGATGGGCTGCGAGCCACTGTCGAAACTGCGGCGGTCCCAGGCAGGACTAGAGTCACGAGGCTGAGAGTCGGAGGCATTGGTGCCAGTGCGAGACTTGGGTCTCGTGCCATAGTCGGGGCTTCTGCCGCGGTCGTAGTATTGTTTGTCAAAGGGCGATACGTAGGAAGCGTGGTGAGGGTCGGGTTGGTCGCGGTAGGCCATGCTGGAGCCCAATGGCAGGCGCTCGGGAGCACCTGCAGTATGACGTTGCGAGTGAGAGTTGTCGAGTAGGCGACCGTTTGTGGAGCGCAGCGAATAGGTGCTGCTGCTATTGCAGAAATCCCATGCACGCGCGACAGTGACAGGTTGCTGGAGAGGACTAGCAAAATGGAGATGTGGGCACGGAAGAAAGAAGATGTTGGCAGAAAGGCTGTGGTGACAAACACGGCTCAGCCCGGTGGATTGCGGGCTTTTCGTTTTCTAAGGCAGCGATACCCTGGGCAGAGGGAGTGTGAGGAGGGCAACAAGCAGCAGGTCGGACAAGCGTGTCTTGAAGGGGGTTTGACTGGCTGTGAAAGGCCATGTTCTACGTGCAGTGCCGTCGACGTGCCGCACCGCAGGCTGGGTGCAGGGCGACTGCTGCGTCATACGCAGGCCTGGGAATAGCAGGACGTCATCACGTCTATTTGCAGTCGACCCCAGCCGAGGGGCAGAGACGGGCAGGATCTTCAGGACAGGCAGAGGATCTTCAGGAGCAGAGGATTGGGGCATAGGATTGGGGGCACGATGAGCGCGGACTGGCGGTAATTATGTTTGTTTGGTTTAGTAGTCGTCACTTCTAGCGCACGTTGAGCGCGGTAGCGACAGCTGTCAGTGACGGCGATGTTCCGCTCGTTTGCATGCCTTTTGTTTCAACCACACGGCGCTGCCAGCTGCTGGCCACTGCGCGCCCAGGTCACGGCATGACAGTCAACCCATTCATCCCCGTCTACCTTATGAGAAACAGCGCAAAAGGGGTGCCGAGCCGGTGGCATGAGGACGCCTTATCAGACGGCCGGCTTATGCGCATCGGGGCGGTTACGGGCTCCTACAAGAGGAGCCGAACATGTGTACTACAAATAAAGCAAGTTGAGATATCTGCATTGATATACATGTATACTAGACTAGCATGAATGATAAATTCTTGTTGCTCTCTAGCAGAGTCTCTACTGTGTATTGTAGTAGGTGATCTGTTTAAGTTCCCATGATACGGTGCCGGTGGGGCGCGAGTGACGAGCAGTGAGGCGGCTGAAGTGAGACAGTGTGCGTGAGAACAGGCGCAGAACCAGTGAAGCAGCACAGCATGCGTAGGCGCCAGTTATCTTGATCTTGCCTGTCCACGCGTTGCAGCGGTCTGTAACGCGCCAGGCAGAGTCAGCAAACAGAAACACGAGGTCGAGCAGAATGGCAGATAGATGACAAGTGACAGGTACCGGGATGGATACAGGGCCTGCAACTATTTCCAGCTGGCGAGGCAGTCCCTGAACATCTTTGCGAGGCGGCCAAGATTATATTAAGTCGGTCTGCGGTGAGGCAGATGCGGACTAGTTGCTAACGGCGCCGGAGCCCCATGCATACAAGCGCCCGCTGGCTCAACACTCGACGATCATAGAGACATGCAAAGCAACGGGTGCATGAAGCTCAACACGCGTCTTTGATGAGGGCGCGGGACGTTACTTGAGTGACTGTCGTGTGTCGCTGCGCGCGCTGATAAAGACAATGCCGTGTGGGCGCGCCATCAGTGGCAGCGCCGAGTTGGGGCGCGTGCGATTGGCGGAGTGCCGTGACCCCAAACCCGCTAGCGTTTCAGGCTTGGAGCCATGGCAAAAGGTGTCTCCGCGCTCGCGCTGGCCCTCAGCAGACGACGGGATCATCCTCTGTTTCGAGCCCGCGTCTTGTTTCTGCCCTCGTCGACCTCTCCGAGCCAGCATCCCGGGCGCCCGTGTACGCCGCAATAAAGAAGCCCGAAACCCCCATCCCACAAAGACAAGGCCGTCCGCCCGCAACCCACCCCAACTCCACGACGCCGGAGACCCGCAGCCAACACCGCATCCTACCGCACCCTACATTCCGCAGCGCCCTCTGTTTACGCCCTCTGTCTACGACCTTCTTCTATCCTGTCACGCGTAGCAACCATAATGCATATATGAGATAGCGTGAACAGACCGACCGCCCGACACCGATCTATCCTCCTAATTAGTCCACCACTATTGAACATCAATATCCGCACACATGGCCATGCTCGCCGCAAAGTCTCCGTATCCCGCGCCCTCCATGAGTGGGAGTGCCTCGCAGTCGTCCGCCCAATACAACAGTGGCCTCTCCGGTTACCGCAGCCATGCCTCAAATACACGGGCCGAGCAGTCCATGTTTGCTTCTCCCACCGAGTCAGAGTTCTCGGAGATATACGACGCTCCCGACGCCATCAGGTGAGGCTCACAGCTGTCAGCCACGTGTATGCCACTAACATGGACAGACATTGGGACGAGGACAAAGTTGGTGACTGGCTGAAGCGCATCAACTGCGCCCAGTATGTCGACCTCTTCAAGCGTATGTCACCAAGCCCATCATGCTAGCGACTACTAACATGCCCAGACAACCACATCAACGGCGAGAACCTGATGGAGATGGACCAGACCCATCTCAAGGACATGGGCATCAAGAAGGTCGGCGACCGCGTCCGCATCGGCTCGCAGGCAAAGCAGCTGCGCAACAAGGAGTACAAGAAAGCCTCGAGACGCACATCAAATAGGCAATCGCTAGCCACGCTCGACAACGCCGCATACACTCC